GGGGCGCGGTTTGGTGCCCTGGTGTGCAGGCTGGCGTGCTCCGCAGGCAACAGTGTCCCCTCCTGCAGCCCAGCTCGAATCCTAAGAGCACTTCCGGGTCCGAAAGCGGTCTGGGGGCGCTGGAGGCTCCCGGCTGGCTTACCTGGAGGTGGCAGCGACCGACCGGACGGAGACCTGGATCCTGGCGGCCCAGCTGCTTCCGCCTCGGCTCTCCCCGCCCGTCCTCACCCAGGCCCAGCAGCCCCACTTCGGCCTCGGCCGGTCCCGCCTGCGCAGCCACAGGAACCCAACCTTCCGGGCTGGGCCGGGCGCACAGCCACCTATGCCACCAAAGCCGCCACCCGGGTGCTGGCCTCCGGGAGGGACCTGCAGATCTGCGCCACAGGGAGTGAGAACGCGGGGTGCAGGAGGACTCTGCAGAAAGTGCTTGCCAGGGGCTCGGCTGGTAGGAGAGGGTTACGCGCAGACACTCGGAGGGGAAATTTTCAAATTGTACCTCCACACACTGAAAGCGCCTAGCTCAGAAGCAACCTCCCTCCGGCATATACTGCTCTGTGAAGTTTGCCACATTCATGCCTCCCGATTCTTCTTTCACTTTCTCTAATGCTGCCAGTGTTTGCAGCCGAGGCTCTTACATCCCACAGGCCTTCGTTTTGGGGTTCCATCCCTGTAAGACTTCCCTCACCACCCACTCAGCTTTAGCCATTTAACAAATATTTGCTGAGCACCTACTATGCGCCAGGTCCTGTTCCAAGGCCATGGATTGGCACACCAGGCATTCAGGCCTGTAATACTTTAATAGTAATAGTTAAAGCTGTGAAGTTGATTGTTTTCTTGTTTGCCAATTTACAATCTGTGTGTCCCACACTAGAACTTAAAAGGCCCAGAAATGGAGGTCTCCAGTGCCTCATTCGCTGCTCGGTCCCCAGCTTCAGGGACAGCGTCACAGCTCCTGTTGCCCTGGCAACCTGTAGATTTTTTTTTTTTTTCATCCCCCTATAGTCTACAGGCGAGGAAGTAGGCGGCCATTCTGGTCAGGGCTGGAATATGAGTCACCAGGACCTAAGCAATGACTTCTGAGGCCAGTCGCTCTTTATCGCGGAGAAGGTAGGCTGGGGCTGGAAGTGGAAAAAGGTCAGACGCTCCGCATTCCAGCCCAGAGCTTGTGACTCAGGACCATACTGGAATGTTATGGGCCTCTGTCACCTGACCTTCCTATCGGCCAATCAGGACCAAGAATAGCTAGAGGGTTATTGTAGGTCGAAAGGATCAGTTCTGGAGGGCTGAAGGGTTCTAGCTGAGATTCTGGGCATCACTAAGGGCAGGCAATAGACACACGGAGGTGGCATTTGCCCCCTTCCCCCCTCCAGCGCCCATCCAAACCGGAATTTAGAAAGATCCTCTTGTTGGCTATGAAGAATGCAGGGCAGCAGTGGCCAGAGGGTTCCAGGCTGAAGTACCCGGCCTCAGCCTGAGCAGCAGTGAGGGTCTCAGCCTTTCAGGTGTGAGAAATATAGGGAAAACTGGAACTACTGTTTCTAGTTCAGCAGAAGCTGACTTAGTAAAGTCTTACTATAAATAAGTAAATAAATGTAATTCTAAAAGTTAAAAAAAGGATCATTTGCTAGCGGAGAATGGAATAACGATAGGTAAGTAAAATCAATATGGAAAATAATTTTAGAAAATACGTTGCACTCCATAAAAAGTGGTCCCCCAGTAGGTTTTGAGGCAGTAAGGACATTACCGGGAAAACCGATCAATGGAGCCTCTGCTTTAGTCAATACCACATAGCAATATTGATTTTTTAAAATCTGGGCTAATGTATCAGTGTTAAGATTGGAAATCAGGGCAAAGGGCACATGAGTTTTTGCTAAGAACTCTGCTGTCTCTGCAATTTCCTGCCAATCAAAAACTCCCCAATACACATTTGCTAAATAGCCAGAGATTGAACCCATAGTGTAGCAGCCACTCTGAACTAAGCCCCGTCTTGCCTTTGTTTAAGTAGAGTATCAGGGCCTCATGGTGGAGCTGAAATCACAGTTACTTGTTTCTGGGCTTTAGAGTGAGTTAAAGGTCTCAAAACTAAAAAAAAGAAAAAAGAAAAAAAACTGAGACAGAAGATTGGAGCTACATCTCAGTGACAGAGCACTGGCAGGGCAGGTTCCTTCCCCCCGAAATCCATAAACAAGGATGGGTCACTCCTGCTAGGTGACCTTTCAAAGTTTGAGGCATCGAACCACCTCCTCCACAGAGAACTGAGGAGTGGCCGTCTCCGTGTGTGAGCCGAGGTCGTTTAACACCACGTTCACGTACTTGTAAAAATGTGAAAAATGTGCTGTGGATCACCAGGATATGAGCTGCTGACAGTTAAAAAAAAATGTCCTGGACTGGGGACAAATGCCTAGGAGTCTCTTTTCTTTATTGGAGGTCTCGGAGGAGGTGCCATATCACTGAGGTATAGCCCCAGCCTCATTCTAGGTCCAAGGGGGGGTCAGGTGATCTGCTCCGTCACTCTTCGCCCTTTTCTTCTAAGACAAGGTCTCCCAGTGAGCCTAGTGCCACTTCCCATTTCTAAGACGACAAACCAAGGCCCAGAAACATCTGTTAACTCCCTCCAATGTGGGCCAGAGTCTGGCACTGAGCCCAGGGCCTCTCGGATGGTTCCTTCCGACCACATCCATCCCCCCCCCCCTCACACTGCCTCATTCCTCTGTCCCCTCCAGGACAGAGCTGGCCTTGGCTGACACTCTTTGCCCCCAAGCTTTGAAGTTCCAGAAGACAGTTGGGACCAAGTCAGCTTCCAAGAAAACAGTAATACTAGACCACTTTTGCCCAGATATCCCAAAGATGCCTTGGTTGGGGGCCAGGAATAACAACAGGAGCTTGTGGATTTATGTCACAAGCCTAGGCTCAGGATGGTAGTCGTTTGAATGCACCTCAAGCTGGGGACTCCAGGGCTCCCAGCAGCAGGGTTCCTTCAGGGAAGGCTGGAGGGGGAGGTGGCAGGCCAATCCCATTATTATCATTCTTCCTTCTGAAACCTGCTGATCTCTGAGTCCTGGAATCTCTGGGTCCTGTCATTTGTCTCGTATTCTCGATGGCGTTTCTCTCAAGCCCATAGATGGCGATCAGTTTCCAGTTCATTCTATGTACAAGGGAGGCTCAAGCTGAGACGAAACTCTGGGCCACTTCCCCACAGATCTCTGGCATAGCCTGGCTGTGCAGCCCTAAGCAGGGAAAGCCGCCCTTCTGATCTCAGTGTCTTCCTCTGCATGAGGGAACACAATGGTTGCCACTTCACAAGGCTGTTAGAGACCCATAACTTGCTTAAAAGGGGAACGCCTGTCTCTCTTGCGAGTACTGGCTAAACACGCTCCCACCAAATGATAACAAATGGTATTTCCTTGATCAACGGAAGAGTTGTCTCTGGGAAGTAAAATGGGCTTGGAGGAGTAGGCGAGGAGACTGGCAGCCATTCCAAACTGCACACACCCAAGGCCAATGGGGCAGAAGCTTGAAGGCCCTCCTCATATGCTCACCGTCTTGGAAAGGGTGTTCTGCAGGCCCATGATGGTGGACTGTGAGAGCCTGAATCCATGCACAACCCCAGCTCTCTCTGTCTGCACTGGGAATTAACTGCCTGACTTTATAAAAAAAAAAAAAAAAGTAGGGAGCCACTGTGCTTTTCAAGGCAGCGTACTGCACATGGACTTTTGTTTCCTTGGCCATTTATTTATTCCACGGTGTTGGGGATGGAGGGAACCCTGGGCCTCACACATTCCGGGCAAATGTTTTACCGCAGAGCTCCACCCTCAGCCTGCCACACAGTGAGACAGAAGGAGTCCTTGTGAACTCCTTGCAGACATTCACAAGAGTATGACTCCTCCATCGACCTGTGGCTTGAGCCATGTCCTAAGTAGTTAGGATATCCTGGGTTTTTTTTTTTTTTTTTTTTAAGACTAATTGAGTCAGACTTACTCAGTCTGGGGAATGGGAAGGAAGCTGAGAGCCAAAGACCTTGCTCAACAGCATGTGACCACTGGCCAGGGCTGAGAACCCAGGGCCCAGTGGCAGAGTCCTCTGCTCACTCTTGACGAAGGTTCTGTCACCATGAACTGTGCCCTCTTTGTCTGTAATTCTTCCGTTTCAGGAAGTGGGGTGCATGGGAAAGGACCGTGCGAGGGGCCTGGTGAGTCCCTCCAGACTTTCATGTCTGGCGCTGCTAATCACGGATTTTCCAAGGCGTACTTCCAGCTCCCATGCTGGACTCCTTGTCCTTCCGCCTCCTCCCTGGCTGAGCCTTAGCCTGGAACCCACCAGAGCTGACTTCTGAGGGCAGATGCTTCCCTGTGTTGAAGAGATGACCCAGGGACCTATCTAGTGACTGTCACACTGAGACTGGGTGGGGGGCGGGGCAGGGGTGTCACTGCTGAGGACCGTTGCCTTTACGAGATGTCTTATCTTTATGGCAAAGGAACAAATAGGACCGTAGATGTGATAAGAAGGGTGGCACCACCTGGAAACCTTCCGTTCCGTTCTGTCCTGTGGGCCTGGGAGTCTGATGGCGAGCTGGATTCTCATTCATTCTCTCTCTCCTCCGCCCTTATAACCCTGAGATTCTCTCATGCCTGGTGATCTCAGTGAGGAGTCTGGGGACAATTCCTGAACTCACCCTCTCCACCCTTCCCCAGCTCTATCTGCTCAACCTGAGATAGCCCCTTCCCCAGCTTTATAAGTATGCCTCCGTGTGGCTTCTTCCCTCCCCGCACCCCCGGGGTGGATCCTGTGGGAAACCCTGATGAGACCTTTGCCATGAAGGGTTTAGGATGACCGTGGTAAATGACTCTGGAGAAAGTCCGGCAATGCTCCCATGAGCACGGGGCATCCCAGGATGGAAAAGGTCCAACAGCTAAAAATGGCCACAGACTTCCCAGCACACAAAACATAAAAACCCAGACAAGAAAATGAAGCCAGCTACAAGGATTACAAAAGAGCGCTGGTTCTATTTGCTTTGTAGTAAGGTCAACATCCCAATATGTGCACATAGTGATATATACAAAACCCAGGAGCTCAGGAAGAGGGGTAGGGACCCCACCACCCTTGAAAGTCACTCATTAAGGGAATGTGTCTCCTCCCTTTTCCCCTAAAAGTTTGGCTATGCTACACAAGGCAGACAGGTGCAAGCCCATTGTCCCAGCCCCGAGTCCTTGATCCAACACAGCCAGTACAAGTCCAGTTCGCATGTGATTTCAAAGGGAGGCTCCTAGTCCTTTTCCTCCGTGGGTTATGAGATCTGGGGAAGGGGAGCCGTGGCAGTGCTGGGCCTGTAGTGATCCAGGTCTCTCAGGCAATAGAAGTGATCTGGGCTTGCTTTTGCTCTCTGCAGAGCAGAGTCCTGGAGCAAGGCCAGTTGCTGCTCCGGCTGTAGGGGTAACAGCAGAGTAGGGTGGCTATCAGTAGCGCCAGGGCGATGATAACGGCCAGCACCCACCGGATGACGCCCGGATAGATGAAAGGCAGGATTAGGACAATGAGAAGAGCCAACAAGAACAGGTGTACAGCTAGGCGCCGGGCAGCTACACGATTGACACTTACTACGTCCTGTTCATCTTCTCCCGTCCAGTTGGCTGGCCGAGCAGCTGGAGTGGCAGAACCAACTAGTCTCTGGGGACACAGGCGTACCTCCGGGCATGAGCGGGCCAGCCGCCCCACCATCACCTCTTGGTCTCGCAGGCTGCAGATTAGGCCTCCTGGGACGGCAGTGACCTTTCGGCACAGTGGACAGGGGATGGACCAGGTGTCTTCTTCCACAAATAACAGAAGCTTCAGGCACACAGCGCAGAAGGCGTGCTGACAGCTGAGCAGCTTGGGGGACCGGGCACAGTTGTAGGGTTCTCGGCACACCAAGCATTCCAGGTCATCCTCCGTAGAGATACTGAGATGCCCAGTGGGTCCCAAGGCGATGGCGGTGGTTGTGGTGGTGGTACCCGCTGGGATAGGCGAAGGGGCCTTGGTGCAAGACATTCTGGGTACCAAGTTGCTGCAATGAGGCTGTTCCGCATAGGGGCACCCGCGAGGAGGGACCACCGGTGCTGCCGGAACTTGCATGGGTTCTGGCCCTGTCGAGACGCTTCCAGCCTCCTCTCTGCTCTGTCCGGGTACCTGCTGACAGCAGCTGTCTGGCATCTTTCTCTTTTGGTTGCCCAGCTTGTTTCTAAGCTTACGTTGTCCCCTTCAGTTATTATTATTTCTTTACTCGAAACCCAGGGTTAATCAGTAACTTGGAGACCTGGAGACTTTGAATTACCTGATAGAAGGGCCAAAGGGGGTGGAGTCTCATAAATCAGGACTTTCCTGTTGGGGCCCTGCCTGATGCATGTCTGTCTACATGACAACCAGCTAAGACACCGTGATGCCAGAGGGTTCCTCTCAAGCTCTGGGGTGCATCAGTGACCCCCCTCAAGTTTCCTGATCTGGGTAGATGAGGGGACTCCCCACGCCTTTTAAAAAATTACGTTTATTCTCCGTCTGTGTCATGGTATACAGGAGGAAGCAGAAGGACTTGTGAGAGTCTGTTCTTGCCTTCCAGCAGGTGTATACTAGGGGTAAAACTCAGGTCAGCAGGGTTGATGGCAAGTGCCTCTACTTGCTGAGCCACCTCGCCAGCCTTTAAAAGTCCAGAATGTTGGGCTTCAGGGCTCAGAGAGGATGAGGTCCAAAGAGCCGCGGAGTTCACACCCATCCATGTGATCCTGATGAGGGTGACCGGGAGCGTCACTTGGAGAAAGGCCTCCAGAGATGGGCTTCTGACCAGACCTTCCGGGTTTCAGAATCAATGGGAACCATGTGTGTGCTTTGAGCACACGGGCGAATGGGTGACCCAGTGAAAACAGAGAGAGGTGATGGGGAAGGATGAGCAAAGGAGGACAGGAAAAGGAGTCTTTCTAAGCGTCCACTGGTCCATTCAGCGCCTTGTCATCCCGACAGCTGGCTTAGCAGACGCTGGTCCCCAGGCATCTCATCAGTGTACCGCACAAACAGGCACCTTAGGAAAAGGCACCATTGGCTGTGTCCTCCGGGGCCACGAGCACAAGCTGCCATTTATTTGGGCCTTCTCAGAGCAAACTCTCAGAGAAGAAGAGGCCTGATTCCTCATCTGTGGTCTCCTAGAATCCCAGCTCCATAAGGAAGGTCTAGGCACAGGAGCTGGGTGTTGGCCTGCTGGCTGCCTGCCAAGGGGCCTCTCACAGGGGCAGGACCCAGTCGTGTCTAAGGTCTGGTTCCCAGTCTCACGGGACCCAGCCATGTCAATAGAGGCAGATTCGACTGACCTCCAGGCAGCTGGCCTGAACTGGCAGGACTCACGTGGGATGGCAGATAGGATGCAACATGGCAGTTACAAAATTCTGTCCCCCTTACCATGCCTGGGATGCTAGAGCTAGGATGGAGGTTCTTGCCCCCCCCCTCAAAAAAAAAAAAACCCTCCACAACAAATACAGAAGCTGCTGCCAATGGCTTCTGGTGTCTAGCTCTTTGAATTAAGCCCTTCCCTCCACCACAAGAGTGGCGCTGCAGGCTCAACCTGTGTTGTGGAGCCACCCGCAGGCAGAGGCTGCTGATTCTTGGGTTGTCTCCCCCCTCATGGCTCTCTCTGAATCCCAACCCCAGTTTCCGTGGTTTTCTGCCTTAGGCTGGGTAAGCAGTGATTTCTTTTTACCACAGTGTCTACAAAGTTCACTCAAAGGGGCCTTGGCTCTAGCTGGGTGTCTGTGCCCATATGTTCCCCACTTTCTCACTGACAGAGGCCTGTCTTCACTATGGGTGATCGCTGCTCCCACCACAGCCTTTCTGTGTGGCTCTATGGGAGAAAGGAGCCCACACCCTGGGCTTCAGAGTGGAGACAAGCTGATACCTTGAGATTTAAGGAGGACCAGTTAGCATCTTCCGCCGGCTGCTTGCACTGGTTGGTTCTGGCCTAAGCAAAGCCAACAAGATTGGGTTCTGGGACTCCTGTTGGAACTGTTAATGGTGTCTTTCTCCTGGGTTTCCCAGAGTAAGTGGGTGCCCTGGGGGAGGGACAGGGCCACAGTGTGCAAAGAACTTGCCCAGGAATAAGGCCAAGGCACAAAGCATTCTTTTAGCACCTGGACCCAGCCATGCCTGAAGCCAGAGAAAGTCCTCTGTAGAGTTTTCAATTACATTAATTTACGAAGCATACTTTTCTTTCTTAGTTCTGGGGCTTGAACCCAAGGTCTTGGTCACTCAACTTTCCAGTTAATATTGAGTCAATTAAACCGGATTTCTGTTTCCTGTAAGTGAGAGCTATCTGGATGGTACCCCAGTAGCCGAGGAAAAGCAACTTTGGCTTTCTGAGTGGGTGAGAACCCACAGACAGCGTGCACACAGTCCCAGGGGACAATGTGTCGCTTTGCTGAGATACTGGCTTTCCCTGCTCTAGGCTTACGTAGTGTTCCTTTCTGTTCGCTGGGTCCAGAAAGGGTTGGGGAGGGGAGAGTCACTCCTGTCAGTCACTTTCATTTATTTTATAATAGATATTTAATAACATTAAAAATTAAAAAATAATATCAGACACACAGCAGAGGGATGTGGGATGGCCGTGTCTTCTCTCTCTCCTACCCACCTACAGGAAGTCAGGTTATCAGAGGGTCATTAAAGGAGGGGCTAGGGATGTAGCTCAATGGATGGAGTGTTCGCCTAGTGTGCACGAAGCCCTGGGTTCCATCCCCAGAGTAGCATAAACAAGGCCCGGTGGTGCACACCTGTAATCTCAGCACTTGAGAGGCAGAGGCTGGAGGATCAGGGGCTCAGGGTCATTTTCGGCTACCACTGAGTTCATGACCAGCTGGGAAACAAGATACGAGGGGAGACAGCTTAGTGGGGGAAAATGATTTGCCATGCAAGCCTGGTGACCTGAGTCTGATCCTCAGAACCCGTGTAAAACACCAGTTCACTGGTGTGCGAGCACCTGCCAGCCCAGCACCCTCTCATGAGATGGGTGTAGAAACAGGAGAATCGTTCAGAAGCCCGAGGGCCAGCTAGAGGCGAGTTCAAAGCTTCAGCCGCAGAAGCAACAGGGACTTGAGGATAGATACCTGAGCTGATCAGCTTGGGCTTCTGGAAGAGAAGTGATTCTGGCAGGGTTTGGGCACAGTCTGAAGTCATCCATCCCAGAGGAAGCACAGATGGTTCCAGAAGACTGAGCATGCCCCGTGTGTTTGGCTCCATGCTCTACCTTGTGGTTGGTATGTGTGCCGTGGTGTTGAGAGCCTTCCAGCTCCCCGAGTCAGACTTCTGTTTGTTTGTTTTTATTGCTGTAGAGATACAGACATTGATTTTTTAGCAAAGCTCGTGGGATTTTGCTTGTTTGTTTTTCGGCTTGGAGCTGCAGACAATTCCTTTTGAGGCTTCCGACAGGCTTGGGTGATGGTAGAATGTTCTGCCTCGAAGACAGTGGAAACCAAGAGACAGCAGTTAAAGGGGGCTGCCCTGGAAGTCACACTGCTGGTGTCGCCTGATCAAGATACTTCCACCTGAGCTTTAGGTCCCCTGGGAAAGGATTTGAGATAGCAATGACAAAGTTAGGCCTTCCAGCCCATGCCTGTTCCTCTTGGGATCAACTCACCTTGGGGATGCAGAGAGCTGGGTCCTAGCCACTAGCTACACACACACACACACACACACACACACACACACACACACACACACACTCACACTTCTCTTATATTCTGGGATTGGCTACCTGCAATCTTCTCTCACATTTTTGTCCCAGAATTCTCTGCTCTGTGCTTTTAGACTTTAGTGACAGTGAAACCTGAACAGCAAACAAACAGGCTTAATTCTGTTAATCCTGACTTTACCACTAATGTATTTACTTGTGGCATTCACCCCACCCCCATTTGGGCAGTGCTGGGAATTGAACTCAGGGACTAGCTCCATCATTGAGCTACCTTTTCCATTTCAGAAACCTTATTTTTTTTAGATTTATTTCTTTTACTTTCTGTGTATGAGTGCTTTGCCAGCATGCATGTCTATGCATGCAGAGGCCAGAAGAAGACAGGGGACCCCCTGGAACTGGAGTTACAGATGTTTGTGAGCTGCCTTGTGGAATCAAGCCTGGGTCTTCCCCAAGATCAGCTAGTGCTCATAACTACTAAGCCACCTCTCCAGCCCCCCAGAAACCCATTTTTATACAAAATTCTCCTCCTTCTCTCCTCCTCGCCGCCCTTGTTTTCTCTTTCCTTTCCTTCCCCCTCCCTTCTCCTTTCCCTTTCTCCCCTCTATCTTCCCCGCACTCCCTCTTCCTACCCCCTCTTGGTAAGTCTAGCCAAGGCTGGCCTCACACCGGGTCTTCCTGCCCTCCTGTGCTGGAGTCACAGGCAGCCCCAGGAGGCCCCGTTTACAAAGCCTGCACAGTGCCTGCTCTGGGTCTGAGATGTGGTTTGGGAAATGCCCGTGGATCAAGCTTGGCCATTAGAAGGCTCCATGCTGAGTGCACTTTCTGAAGATTCTGATGGAGTTGTATTTCAGGGGCCACCCTGGCTGCTCCTATATCCTGAGACCAGGCCAAGACACCGGATGTGACGGTCCTCAGTGTCCCCCGCACAGAACATGGGAAACTGGCCTAGAGGAGATGAGTTTGAAGAAACCCTTGGCTTCCCCAATGGTATGTTCTCGGATTTTCTGGCTGTACTGTCACCCGCTTCCCAGTTTTGCTTTGGCCACCAGGCAGCTCAGCCATGATAACAGGAAGACACCGCTTCGGGTATACAGTGCCCTGCTCCCTCAGCTTGTGCTTTCTTCTCCAGTCTCTGGTCTACCCAGTCTTGGTGCCTGGTATTTGATTTTTGTATTTACATATTGTTTGCAGCTATTTCTTCTGAGCAATACCTATGCTTTCTGATTAAGGAAAGAAGAAACGAAGGGAAAAAATGAAATCGAGGGAGAAAAGGCAAATACAGGCCAGAAGGCAGAGGAGGCAGGGACAGTGGGCACCGCCTGGCATCTTAGGCAGAAGAGGCAGGGACAGTGGGCACCGCCTGGCATCTTAGGCAGAAGAGGCAGGGACAGTGGGCACCGCCTGGCATGCATGTTAGGCAGAGGAGGCAGGGACAGTGGGCACTACCTGGCATCCTCAAGACTAAATCCCCGGGGGAGTCTACCTCCTTCCACTCACGCTGT